AACAGAATTTAGTTTTACCCAAAATGTGGGTTAGAGCAAAGTATACATTTTCAGTGAAAGGGTTCTCATTAGCTTGATTATGGGTTTTCTTGTGATCAAAAGGAGTCTTATAACACACAGAAAGATGGTTAAAAATACTCAGATTTAAATCATGACTGGACTTTTAATAAACTTTGATGAGGTCAAACTGAATCCCTTTGAAGACCTGTAGGCACAGCATGTGTCCAAAAGTTTTGCACAAAAATGTAAGGAACAAAAAGAGGATTGGAAACAATTTGAAATCATTTTATTTATTTTGGATTGAGTCAATGAATACAAAAAAACATTTGGGGTTGACTGACGAAACCACAGGAAGTATTTACAAATGCATTATCTACAAGGAGGAATGGGATAGTTGAAATCTGCTTTTCCAAACTGAAAAAAAAAAAGAGACACAAAAGTTGAAGAGTTGGAATATACATCAGGTCTGTCTGTATCACAGCCAGCTGCTTTGAACAGAGTGAAAGCACTGAAGCTTCTTCTCCTCACAGATGGCATCATTCATGCAGCCGACAGATGACTACACTGCTGTGAATCTCATTTGACAGGAGATCATAGACCTCAGAGAGATCATCGACCACGATGTGATCACTTCAGCCCTTAGATCACTCAGAACAAGTCCCAGTCGCCTGCGTTCCTCTATTATCCCTATTTGGCTGGTATTGAACAACTTAGGAAGCTTCTTCATCGATCTTGGGTGCCAAGTAGTATTTGACGTGTCCCATATCAGCAATCTTGTACTCCACCACTGTAGAAAGACAACACAGAAAGTTGAGCCACTAGTTTCAGTTCCGGTAACCTCTTTAAAATCCAAATGCAGTTTAATTCTGAACACTGTAAAGAAGGACTTACCGAGGGGGATATCAGCAGACATGCTGAGGGTGACTGTCTTGGACAGAGGCGTTGCCTTGGTGAAGAAGTTCAGGTAGTTGAGGGCAAAGATCAACTGAACGGGTTCATTCATCTCAATGGTGACCTGCAAATGGAAAGCAAGAAGATATGTCCAATTTAACATATTGCCATCACAACAGTAACGGTACGTCCACACAGCAGCGTGCGTTGAAGCTTGCGGGTGGGCGTGTCTGGAGCACGACCAACAACCAAACCATCTAATCTCCCGCCCCGGACACACAAGTATGCGGTTTGATTGGTTAGAGCTTGTACTGGCATATGATTTGATTGGCTGATGCTTCCGTTGAAGCTTGAAAAGTTGAACTTTTCTCAACTTTCGAAGCGAGCAACGCAGGCAAAGCGACGGAACCACAATGCAGTTCGTCAAAAAAGCATGACGTCACCCCATTCATTCAAAGTGAATGGGAAGCTGCGTTGAAGCTTCAACGCACACTGCCGTGTGGACGGGCCGTTACAGTACAAACGGTCAGCAAATAAACCATTTTAAAAATCCGTTCTAGAGTAGCTCAAGGTGGCTTCTTAAAATATCTTGTTTTTGTATAACGATATATATTTTTCAATTTATTAATGAAGAAAAAATATGAAACATACGTTTGCAGAACTGGCAAAACTATCATAATCTTTCTATTTGCACATACAAGTAATCTGATTGGACATGTGATTCCTAACCATTAACAGTTGGGCCGCAACTAATATTTTACCATAATATCAAATTAAACTGCTTATTATTAATTGTATAGTTGGACCATCAATGTTAGAAAAAAGAAAAAGACTGTCCCCAGAGTTTTTCAGAGACATTTATTGTAGTAGTTGCTAAGTGTAAAACCAAAAGATACTCGCCATGCTAGATTAAATCATTGGCATATTAAAGGCCAATGATGTTTAACAACAGATACTTGTTCTGGCTACACTGTAGATTATTAATTGATATATTAATCATCTATCAATATTGTTATTATAATTATTACTCACTGCCTCCTCCTCTTTGTCTACGTTGCTGGTCTGGGACAGTTTGACGTTTCCAGTGCCCAGCTCTCCAGAGGCGGAGAACTTGACTCCGTCCTTGGCGCAGGAGATCATGACGGCGTCACCAATCTGGGACAAGTCACGGCAGATTCGGGCAAACTCCCCGGAGGGCATCTTCACCACACAGCTGTACTCCTGCTCCTGAAGGGAGAGATACAGACAGAAAGGTTAGGAACACTGGATGAAATTAAAGCAATTAAAGAAAAGGAAATGACAAATTACTTACTGGAATACCAAGCTGCTCCACATCCAGATCCATCAGCTTCATCTCATAATCTGAGACCTTCTCCTGGTCTGCAAGAGTGAAGAGAAAAGAGGTAAATAAACAATTTGATCCTGATCCTTGCTTTGATTCTGCTTTAAAGCCAATAACTTACTGATTGTCTCAAACACGAGTGCGAGTGTGTCTGCATTGTCTTCTGCTCTGAGGGTGATGATGTCTTCATTTCCTGCACACTTCAGGATTTTTGACATACTGTATGGGAGAGAAAAAAGCCAAAACTGTTACAAACTACAAAACATCCAATTTCAAATAAAAAACAAGTTTCACCTTTTTAAGTGTGTGTATGAATTTATATTACAATACATTTTTTGAGGGTTTATTTGTTAAGGTTTTGGGCTGATAAGCAGTTGTATGATATATCATCATCAATAAATCTGTCAGTTACTTCCCAATTACTTAATTGTGATTGAACGTAATACATGTAAAAACTTCAATTTAAAAGTTGATATCTTAACTAATATCTGAAGTGTTTTTGGCAAACCAAATACCTATACAATTGCAAAATAAACAACAATAAATGAACCACGTGTGTGCCTATAATAATCTTGACATATGGAAACAGATTTAAGATCTGTATGTCATATTTTTTTTAATGTAAATAATGTGAAACTGTAATAAAAAGCTCAGTGACTAAAAGCACTGGCACAAAGCGGGGTGGCAGTGAAACGGAAGTGGAAGTTCCCGGGTTGAAAACAATTCCCGCCATCCCTCCACACGGAGAATTTGGCGCTCAAATTACGTCGCTACATAATGACAATGCAGCTGTCGCCTGCACTGCACCAAATGTATTGAAGTTATTGACACCCAAAAAGAAAAGTATTGTTAAACCAATCGGGCTATTTGTAAATAGTTCAGGCACAAACCTCACGATTTTAACAGAGTGTAAAGAGTTAACTTTACACTCTAGTAGACATGCCCGGGCAATATTCCGCCATGATGGCCACCATCTTTGTAAGCTTCAGATAATAGACAGTTCATTTATGCTAATAAAAGAAACTAAAGCGACGGGGTTTCAAAGTGTGCGACGCTAGAAGTTTGTGAGGAGCATTACAAACGAGCACACAAACCAAACCTCTGTTGTTCTTAATGAATTCAAACAGCGCCAAACTTCAGCAACTCAACTTGTCAAACTAGTGTGACATGAGTCAGCAAATGCATCATTTATATGCTAGCCAACATCCTAAACAACGCAACAGATGTACCACTTGAATATTTTCTGGCCTAAATTAGCTCTAAAGTGTGCTGCACCTGCTGAGGTTGACTCCCATGGCGAGGTTTCTGTCGCATCGGTACGAGTCAAAGCCGTCGTGCCGCAGGGTGAGCTGCACCAGCGAGACGTGAGAGGAGTCCATGCTCTGCAGGGAGATGCCGGACGAGCTGACATCCCAGCAGGCCTCTGTAATCAGGTCCTTCAGAGCCTCCAGCACCTTCTTCAGGATGGATCCCTGGACCAGGCGAGCCTCAAACATGGTTGCTTTGGAATTTTTAGGCTGCGTAGATTCAAACGAAGAGATTACTCGCGTTACTCCGGCAGTGTGGAGGCTGGCAAATTGAGTTATCAACGACTGTGAGAGCAAGAAAATCCTTTAGAAGTTCAGTCTTTGTGTTGTGAGCTGGCAAAAGTGCAGCACGCAGACACCACTCTCACTGCAGAGGGAAGGTTTGAGCTGTAAACGCGCGCTAACGTCAGTTTATAAAGACTCGGCGTTTTTGCGTCATTTCCGTGTCCGTTGTTGGTACGTCACAACCGCGAACATCAGTGATGGGTGTCACTATCGGGCAGGGGGACGGATCGGGTAGTGACAATGGGCACTGCTGTCCGCCATGTTGGAGAGGACAATTCTGTAAAGAGCAGATACCATGGATGTATTCAGGCATAACGACAAAAAAAACAATTGTATTCAAGTCAGTCAGGGAGTCAAAAGTCAATTTATTTAAAGACCTTTCCGAATTGCTTTGACCCTTTTGCTAAAATAACAGCAGGCAAATGGCCAAATAACAAACATTGATTATATTTATCCGACAACATTTTAACTATTATTATTCTCCGTTACCCCTTAGTTTTTTGTGCCACGTTGCAACCCCAAACCAATATGGTTGTAATTTTTTTTTTACCACAAATACATTAGAGAATATTCTGTTCCAAACCATTTTACGACGTGAAACTTTTCATGCAAAACTTCAACAGCTCCAGGACTTTCTTCCTTCTGCCAAGCAGTTCAAAATAGCCTATGCCAATACCTTAAAGGTGGGGTAGGTACGTTTGAGAAACCGGCTCGAGATACACTTTGTTATATTCCATGGAATGCTCTTAACATCCCGATAGCAATGAATATCTTGCTTTGACAAAAAATCCATAAAAAAATGTCATCTGTGGAAGCCGTAGTACTTTAAAAAGCAAGACCAATCATTTTAAAATAACTGGATGGCCTACCTGCCTGTCAGCCTTCCAATCATTTTAAAATAACTGGATGGCCTACCTGCCTGTCAGCCTTCCATCTGTGCACAAACTTATCTCGTGCCCTCATTGGTCATGTGTGTGTTGGAGGAGGGGCTCTGTAAGGAAGTGGCTGTGTATTTTATAATTCTAGCGCACTCGAGCTGGTTTCTCCAAAATTACCTACCCCACCTTTAAGTATGGCATAGATAGTATGTCTGCTTCTTATACTCCTCCCCTGATTCTGATGAACTTATGCAAACATGCACAACTACTAACTATATAGAAAGAAGACAGAGAACATTTTAATTTCAAATGTTGTTTTATTAATCATTTAGAAGTGCTTGGTTTCACTGACACACAGCATCCCACACAACCCGTTTGTCGCACACATACAGACACGAATAAAAAGGATAGTATTTTAATACTGCCATTTAACCCCTGAGTATATTTACGCATGTTGATTTAGGCCAGGGTCATTGAGACTTGGTGTAGACAGGACAAACTTCACAAGATCTTAGAGGGAGTGAAGAATATTCTTGCAGAGTGAACACATTGTAAGGAATGTCAGACAGAAACATTGCACTATTTGCAATATGTGTTGTGGCAGGGATTTCATTTTTTATTTGGACTGTTCCAAATGTGTGTTGGCATAGAGTGCAGAAGATCTTTATGTTCCTGGTGTATTCATTTAGAGACTATCAGAGAGGATGTAGTGGGTTGCCATGGCGAGGATGGGGGATCCTGTTGGGACCCCTGGGAAAGGACCGCTGGACCCGGCGATGTCAACGTGGGAATATGGCAGAGGGGCCTTAGAGTCCACACCGTGCTGGAATATAAGTTATCATACAAGTTAATTACATTCAATTCTTCATACTTAAGAGTTATATTATTATGACAAAGTGTGAGCACCTTGTCGAGCCCAGAGGCCATGATGAGGAAAGCTGCAGGGGTCTGATGTCCGCGAGGTGTAGCGGAGGACGGCAGGTTGTTGCACTGCAGAATGTCCTCGTACTCAGACTTTCCCTTGTGGAATTCGTAGTCCTCTCGTCTGATGGTGGACACCTCGAACACATCGCCCAGCGCCTCTCCAGCTGCATGAGGGAGGAAGAAGAACAGGTGTTTGTTGTGATGGAGGAAATAAAGCTCTCTGAAGCATTAAAGATATGAAGCAGTTGTGCTGGAAATCATTTATTGAATAAATAAGTATTTAATAAAATCCACATGGCTGCATCTGCTGCACAGTCCATGGCATTGCAAGTCATGACGAATATACAGTGGGGCAAAAAAGTATTTAGTCAGCCACCAATTGTGCAAGTTCTCCCACTTAAAAAGATGAGAGGCCTGTAATTTTCATCCTAGGTATACCTCAACTATGAGAGACAGAATGGGGGGAAAGAATCCAGGAAATCACATTGTAGGATTTTTAATGAATGAATTGGTAAATTCCTCTGTAAAATAAGTATTTGGTCACCTACAAACAAACAAGATTTCTGGCTCTCACAGACCTGTAACTTCTTCTTTAAGAGCCTCCTCTGTCCTCCACTTGTTAACTGTATTAATGGCACCTGTTTGAACTCGTTATCAGTATAAAAGACACCTGTCCACAACCTCAAACAGTCACACACCAAACTCCACTATGGCCAAGACCAAAGAGCTGTCAAAGGACACCAGAAACAAAATTGTAGACCTGCACCAGGCTGGGAAGACTGAATCTGCAATAGGTAAGCAGCTTGGTGTGAAGAAATCAACTGTGGGAGCAATTATTAGAAAATGGAAGACA